TTCTGGCTTCATAGCTTAAAAATGAAATCAAATGCCTATTTGAAATATCCAATCAACAGTAGAGAAGGACATAAATATACCTGAAGTACGCTGGGAAGCAGTCCAGCATAGAGAGCTGGAATCCCTCCTTGTTCAACTATCTTCATAAAAGTAGCTGGAGTACTTAATCTTGCTCCATGAGCTTGCAATTGAAGCTGTCTCCTGATGACTTCAAGCGGATAAGTAGCAGTTTCGGCACAAGCACCAGAAATAGCCCCATACAGTAAGGTTCTTAGGGGTCCCAATTCCAGTTGACCCAAGGCTGTTATATCTTGCCCCTGTGACTTTGTTTTCAGTATCCTTTCCCTTCCTTCAGGTGAATTCAGATAGGATGTTTTGAGTATATCATACACCCCATAAAAAACTGCACTGGAAGGTGCGATACTAAGAATTGATGGAAGGAAGCCCTTGTAAAGGGAAAAATACCCTTCTGTTTGGATCATATAGCGGAAAGCACCAATAATACCACCCAAATTTTCCCCACCATGTGCAACTATTCTGGTTCGAATCTGAAACAAAATAACAGCAGATATTAGAAGGAAGAACCTCATCAAAACTCAAAAGTGTTGAAAAATAAACACAAAGTACAATTGAATAGATGGATGAATGAATACAACCAAATAATTGCAATGCCAGTCTAAATTGATTCTGAACCCTTCACTAGAAGTTAAAATTTGAATTTCACAAAATAAATTAAACATGTTCATTCAGTGTTACCAAATTTACTAATTCCACCACAAATTACAATCAGAAACATGCGATGTGGTTCAAAAGAACAATTGGGACTAATTAAAAATAATAATAATATATAGGAAGGGAAATGTGCTCCTGCCCATTCCACATAACAAAGTCTACTGCAAATTAGGTTACATTGCAAACCATTACACACCCCATCAACTAACATTTCTCTCTTGCAAACATACTACCACAAAATTTTAATGCACACCACTTCCCTACTAGAGTATCAATCTTTAAATATCTTATATACTTCTACTTTGTAACTGAACTCTAGAATAATTATAGAACAGGCAGTTCCAGTTTGTAACATACTGTGTCTAAAGGTAAGCAGAGAACAGAGGCAGTAATTCCAGCAGCAGCTCCAGCAATGAACCTTTCAAAATTTGCTGTTTTATCCATGAGATGTAATTTGCGTAGTTGCTTTCTATATGTATCATAAGCACAAAAATTGATTGCCTTAAATGGAGCTGTCCGTAGAATATTAAGCAAGTTCCCTTTCCAAAAGCCCCTCAAGCCCTGAGTGGCAGCAATTGTCTTAACGAGCTCTGAGATGTTTTTCTGCTCACCACGAACTATATATTCTAGCTTCAGTCTCTCAAGTGGGGCAACAACAGTTCTGAAACAGTGAAATCACTCATAAACTGATGAAGTCGAGAAACTGTAGACCCAAAGAAAAAGGCACAGTTAAGAGTTAAAATCTGAACCTATTTTTGTTTTCAGCAAAGGGAGGAAAGCTAGAAAGGATCTAACGCAGCTGATATTCTCAAACTCTCAACAGTATCTGAGGTCAGCACCTCATCATCTTACGGATAAATGACATAATTAGATTAATTTTTACTAGAGGGCTAGGATTGAAGAGGAATGAGACCTTAACAAGCTAACATAAACACAAATATAAAATAAGCAAGCAGAAGGTGACTTGCACAACCATAACACTTTCCTGAAAGGTAAATGAAACAACAAAACCGTATAACAACCACATTATGAGGACCACACAATTAGCATTTAACAATTTGCTGGACCTTTTTCTATTTTAATATTGCACATTGCACTGTCACATGTATCATGCAATCAGCACAAAAAGGGGGAGGTGAGGTGAGTGTGACTGGTGTCATATAAGATTCAATGAAAAATCTAGTAACTTGTGCTTATTAATCTAGTGAGTTTAAAATGGCATTGGAATGAAACTAACAAGCTACGAGAAACACGAAAAGCTTTTCCGTGATGTATTTAAATGGAGTAAGATCTGACCAAATAAACACCCTGAAATGAAAATAAAGACTTCTATTGCTCTCTTATAAGCTATAAATTCCATAAACAGGATGAAACAGCTGCAGGATATGAGTATTAGAACTATCTGTGGTTGATGCTTACTAAAACCGGAACAAATTATCGAAAAGCCTTAATCCTCAGCAAACCCATTTCTGGGCTTGTACAAAAAAATGTGGTAATTACGACCCATTCTCGATTGCTAACAGTTATACTTCAATAATCCTACATTGTATTGCCACAGCATACAGCCAGTGATCACAGCACTTGCAAGAATGCAAAACATCAATTCGAAAATTCGAGGAACCAAAACATTGTCCAGAAGCTATGTTTTTCAGCACCATGTCAATAGATAAACCATAATTCTAAACAAAACTTGGGACCCAAATTCACAAAAACAGTTTGATTAAAACAAACCCAATATGCCTAAATAATCCTGTATAAATTTTCAATCGACAACAAAACAAGACCCAAAAATATAAGGCATTGATTAATTAACAATTATCATTATTAAAAAAAAATTAAAAAAAAAAACAATTAAAATACCAAATTAACAGCAATTGAAACAAAATGTAGGGAGGCACCTGGCAACCATGGCAGCAACAGCACCAGCCCAGAAATGTTTACTAGAGTTCATAGCGGCGGCACCGCGACCGGAAGACACAACCTTTTCCTTCTCCAACACCACATTCTTAATACCCAAATCCTCTTCTCCTCCATTAACAAAACCATTGCTACAATCCTTCAAACTAATCGATGAAAAAACCCCTTTAAAAGACACAGAAACCACCCTTTTCCCTTTAATTGAAACCCCAGAATTTCGAGAGCATGATTTTGAAATGGTATTGTTGATTGAAGAAGGGGATGAAATGCAATTGAGGAAAGAAGGTGGGATAGTGGGGTCGAGGAAGAGACCGCCGGCGAAGAGATAAGGTGAGGAGTGAGAAGGGTAGTGTTCTAGTAGAACTATGGCATCGGAATTGGGCATTGAGTGAGATTGTGGAGGTGAAATTGAAGGGTTTTTGGAGAGAGAAAGAAGGAAAATGAAAATCTGAAATTTGCAGATTTTCAGATTTTGAAAGTGGGGGTAGCTAGAAGAAGACGAGGGGGGTGTGTTTGCAAACGGAGTGGTGTGGCCGTGTGGGAATATGCTTACTTGCGTGAGCCGTCAATGCGGGTCACTAAGTTGGGTTCGAGTTGCAGAGTTTAAGTCTCAACACGGGTCACTAAGTTATACAGTAGGTTCGGTTGAAGAGTTTAGTCGGGTTGGTTAGATTTTGACACTTTGGAGTAGTTTGTACTCTCTTTATTTGTGGCCTTGTTTGGTAAATAATTTTTGGAGTGTTTTTAGCTTATTAAGGCCTTGTTTATTTCAACTTACAATCACTTGGGGGGGGCGGGGGGAGATGAGGGGCTAATCAATTAACCATCCCTCCATCTCATATGTCCTCATGTTAATATATACTTCGTATATGATTAAATATTATAGTATTAAAATATAATAGTCGTTCGTCACTTACAATTACCCCTTAAGAGATCTAAATTCTCAATATAAGTATCAAACACCCCTAAACTAATGACATATCTTCCAACAGCTGCGAGTTGCGGCTTATGGGCAGTTAAAAGCTAATTTTTTATCTTCTTTTTTTTAATGGGCAAATAGTGACTTGGAGACTAGTATATATAGGGATGTCATTGGGGCGGTCAAATAGGAGACCCGCCCCGTTTTGGTTTGGCGGGTGATGGGGCGGGGATGGGGATAAAAACCATACCCGCCATGAGTGATGGGGCGGGGGTGGATTTTAGGTTGTCCCCGTCTCGCCCCGCCCCATCCCCACCTACCCCACTTCATACCCGCCTCATCCCCACATCCATATATTTTTAAAACAAAATTATATATTTTTATACTATTTTATAAAAAAAAAATTATGTAAAATAAAATAATAAATATAATACTTTGTAATACACTATATTATAAACAAAAAAATGTGTAATATTAACAATAATTTTTTTCTTTTTGCAATCTTTATTAATTATGGAGGATTGTGTATTTGGAAGGCGTAGATTAGGCGGGTCTTAGGTGGGGATGGATATCCAAGTGGGGGTTGGGGCGGGGATGGTTTTGGAATTGTACCCACTGGGGCGGAGATGAAGATGAATTTTAGACCCGTCGCGGGGATGGGGATGGGGATGGGAAGGCCAACATTCCCCCCGCCCCGCCTCATTGACATCCCTAAGCATACATGTATTTTTTATTTTTATTTTTGAAACATGTAAATTATCATTTGACAAAATTATATAAGCACATTTTAGAAATAACAACCAATTTCTTAAAAAAAAAAAGAAACAAAAAGAAAGAGAGAGAAATAATCTTTAAAAGATGTGAATGTCTGCTACTAGACAATCTTAGTAGTATGAGTAACCTACATAGGAAGAGGTCATTGAGACGACTACTTATATAGTATATCAACAAGCTTAAAGTAGGCTACATCTCAAGATGAATCAATGTAACAATGAAATTAAAGGAATAATTTTTGAACTTATAAATTATTTAATTTTCGTCTCAGTGTCTCCTCAAATACAAGACAACATACATGTGCAAAACAAGTGCTTCAACATATAAATTATAATAAAATACGAGAAGACGAATTTGACATATATGTATAATTTGGCAAGGTTTTCAATCCTATAATAAACTTGAATAAAGTAATTACTTTTTCAACTCTTCTAACATAGGGTATCACAAGATTCACAACCACATTGAAACCCTATCAAATGCTTATTAATATTTGATTTCCTATACAATTATACATAAATTGAGAACAATACAATTATAGTGCTTTGAATATATTGATCTCCTATACAAATTGCTCACAAATTTATAAACAAGTTTAGAAGAAAGATAATTGTATAAAAAAAGGTTAGCTAGTAGAATTGCATTGCATGTAGATATATCAAAATTGTTATATCAAGAATGTAAAAGTAAAATACAAAGATATCAAAACTGTAAAATACAAGCATTACATAATAATCGGTACATTGTTGTGAATACCAAACATTTATTAGTTAGAAAGGTGCACCTACATATCTCACATATATTAGTTCTTCAATTTTTTTTCTCTTGAATTTTTTAGTAACACTTACTCTAGTTTAACTTACTTAATGCATTGTTGCTGCAAACAAGATTAAAATGACAAAAAAAAAAAAAGAAAAAAAAAACACTTTAATTAGTCGGATGGCCATTCTTTCTGAATATCAAACGTGTATTTGATCTCCAAGTAACATTTGTTGTCATCATCAAGAAACTGAAACAATCAAAATACATATACATCAAATTAGTCATAAGATCATTAACATTATAGAGACTTTAATTAATCAAAGTATCGAGAAATAATCACCGTACAAAACTACAAACAAGTACTATATAAGAGTCCATTTGAAAACTTGAGGATTTTCTCACCTTAGACTTAGCACTGTATGAGCCTCTTGCAAAAAAACCCGAAGGCGTAGTTTCCTCTGGCATCTCATGTGTATAAGGTTCTAATTGAGGGCTAAATGTTCCAATCATTTCTTTGGTACTGTCAACTGCATAATAGTATAATCGAGTGAAAAATCAATCAAATATCATAACACATTTTCTTGAAAATTTTATCGAAGAATGTCTCAAAAATAAGTATGATGCATTTCAAAACGAGGAAAGGAAAAAAAAAAGTCTAATGAGTAATGACTATTACACAAATATGAATGAATAGTTTTTCTATGTGATGTACTTTTGATAAATTGATATAGTATATTGTCAAAATATCAATTATATGTATGAATTTTATTAATAAATAAGTAAATATATTCTTATCAATATTATAGGAGGTATTACATTTATAAGCATAAAAAAGTAAAAATATTGCAAGTACTTTAAAATTGTGTAATTGTGCAAATATGTACGTGTGATTGTCTAAAGGTGGATATGTGTTTTGATCAAAATGAGAAATAAATGAACATGTTACACAATCTCCTTATATCCAAGTAGCACAATGTCCAAGCCACCATGCTCTAGACCAGCATAGTAGCAGGATACTTCTACAATATAGACGGAGTTTAAAGGGCAATGACATTCACGGAATTTAATCCCAACATAATATGTTTTAATTAAGCACTAACCGTCAAATGTCTTCCAAAAAAAAAAAAACACTAACCCTCAAACAATTTATGCAAAAAAGGTCGAGTAATATGTATTTGAGATAATATAATGTACCTTTGAGACCAGTTTTCCATACTGTGTTGGTGTACCTAAGGCCAGAGACAATGTTGTTGGTAACTTGAAAGCAAAAGCGAAGATTATAAGGGCTACCTTCCTTCAAGGTGAACCATAAGCCTTTTGGGTCCCCTGACTCTGGTAATGGAAGAACAATATCCTCTCGACCAGGAGATATTATTGTCAAACTCAATATCTTCACTTCTGGTTCCAAAGTTTCTACGATATTTATTTAGTGCAAAAAGTTAATATAAAAACTATTGAAATACCATTTTATTTATCTTTGTCCAAATAAATCACAATGGTAATACAATTGTAAATGGGAATAGGGTATTTGACCCTACGATCTAATATACATTAGCTCTCAGCTTTAACTACTAGGTGAAGAGCTCATTGGTGATTTGAAATATGATATGAGTATAGTTTTGCATTTTCACAAAGAAACAAGAATAAATGACTTATTCCCTTCTTTTGGAACTCTTTTTTTTTTTACTTAATTAATTAATGTTATCATAGATTAACATCATTAAATCAAGAAAATTTACAACCCCGTATTCCCATACCTTCTCCTGAGTTGAAATCAACTTGTCCAAGGAGTTGCTCCTTCCATTTTCTTAAACTCTCGTCATCCTGTAACATTTTACAAAATTTCATAAAGAACAAGAAAGGACAATTAAAACATTAAATCTACAAACCCACGTTTCAAATTCTCTTCTCTCTTATTGCAACTCGATAATTGTATGTATTCTTTACCAAGAAATTATCCAAAAAGGCATACTTATACTTCGTATGTATTAATGCAACGTCAAATTGACCATATTAGTCTATTCTCACTCTCCTTTAATACAATTTGACAATAATATTATAATTATAGTGTATAAACTATTACTCTGTATCAAGTTGGAATGACCATTGTCTTATAGCAATACATAAGAATATGAACAACTTTTGATATGCAATAATATAAAAGTTACTCCCTCCCGTTTTAGGACATCCAAAAAGAATACACACCATACTATGTGTTGGAGGGAGTATTTTATAGCATTTCACTTTAAAAGGAGGGGTAGATGAGATTCAAACCTGTGACCTTTGTGTCACGCTAACTCTTAATACCATGTTAACGGACCAACTCAACCAAAAACTCAAGCTTATGGTTAGAGCCTAGGAATATGTTTTATACTCTATCAAAAAGAGCGACGGATAATTAGAGATTGGTGTTTGTGGATCATCATCAAATTTTTCAACATATATAGAAAGAAAATTCAAAAAGAAATGGATCAAAATATTAATGTTACCTTATCTTTCTCAAGGTGTTGCCTAATACTGCATTTTGGACCCAGTTGTATATTACTTAACTCTTCCTCTTCTTCCTCAGTAGGACCTAATGAAGATTCACTAGGTAATCTATTAAAAGATGGATTTGGATCTCCGTCAATTCCACTTCCATGGGTTGAAGATGATATTGAATCAATTGTTTCTCCCATTTCCTTTCTTTGAAATCCCTTTATTTTATTTAAAGTATATATAAAATTTTTAGATAAGCTTGTAAAAATTCTACCCTAAATTGATCATAGGTTATCTGAAAATTTAATTGTGAATAAAAGCACAACTAATTTTCATCATCAAACAATTCGAAATATCACAAAAAATCATAATATTTGGTTTAAAATAATAAGGGTTATGAAAGAGGTAAAATTAATAAAAGTACAAATTTTGATGGAAAGGGAGCTAATTAATTATGTAAGAGTTTTAGATTCTACAAGTATGACTTATCCTCAAAAGAAATTAGAGAAAAAGAAGGGAGAAAACAGATCACAACAATTAGAGGAGGCTAAGTCGATCATACTAATTTAGAAATGGTAATAATAAAGGTTAATTTTGGGATCATACGCTTTTAATTAGTGGTGACTGGTGAATTCCTCTATACATTAGTGGTGAAAACAAATAAAAGGATAAAGGGTAAATTAAGTCTTGTGATGATCCGAGATTTGTGGAAAAATAAATATAACAATTTACTAATTTTTGCACAAATGATATTATAATATGCAAGAATTTATTTAACTCGACAATTTTGGAATAAGAAAATAGCTAGTTTTTAGGACTATGCGATAATATGTGTTGCTTCATGCCTTCATGGATAATAATTGTGACCTTATTCTTCAAGGTTGTATCCTTAATTAATACTTTTATATATGTACGTGACTATTTGTGTATATATACACATACTCTCACTTATTATTCAGAGGATTTAAAATCTTAACCAAAAGAAGTAAATGTGAGATCATGTTGTATAATTTACATAAATCTTTGATTATTTTGTATGATTTAAAATGCATTTGATATTGTACAAAAGCCAATGAGTAAAATATTGCGAAACATAGCGGGTATATAGATAGAAGAGAACATTTATGATAACATAGCTCATTGGATAAGATGTACTCAACTACTCAAGTGTTTAATTTTGATATCCCCCCAAAGACAAATCTTATTTTAGTCTCATTTATACAAGTATATATTTTATAGTTTTTTACAAGCATCAATTTTAAGTAATTTATCATTTCTCTTTTATTTTGATTGATAATAACATATCAAAGCCGTCAACCACTTTTATTTTCTCTTTTATACAAGTCAGTAGCATATATTTTATAATTTAAAATCATGTTTTGGTTCATAGGGGGTAACTAAGGGTCAAATATGAAAGCAATGCAAAGTCCAATCCCAAGTTATAAATATATTCCTCTAATATGTTTTATCAACCACAACATTCAATATTATACTCCTGAGTAACTCTTAGTAATTACACAAATATTAATTCTTAACAAGAAAATTAAAGCATACGAAGTATAGTTTTTGGTTTACTAGTATCAAATTTAAGTAATTTATAGTAAACCATTTCTCTTTTAATAATCAAAAGTTTTGGTTGATAACATATCAAAGCCCCTAAACTATCTTCCTTCAATTTTATAATCCAGGCCAATGTGGGATATTGACATGTCAACTAGTAGTGGGTTTGACCTTTTTACAACCAAATCTTAGATAATGTCAAAAACCAAAAAAGGGGCAATTTTGTCATTTTTCAAACAATAAAGTGCTATCTTCTCTCTCTCCTCTCCCTTCTCCCCTCACAGAAAAACAACAGAAGAGAGAGAAAGAAAGAGACCGACTTTGATACCAGAAAACCAACTTTGAGACTCAGTGAGTGGATACTGTCCGTTTTTTTCAGTTAGAGAGAGAAAAAATTTAATTATTATTTTCCCCAAAAAAAACCCAAAAAATTATTATCCAAAAATACAAAAAAAATGGTGTCTGACCAAGAAATAGCAGAGGGTTTAGAAGCTTTGTTTCGTGAAACTAACCCTAATTCCTTCAATTCCCTAAATGAGGTTATTCTTCGATTGCAATCAAAATTAGGGTTTGATCTTTCCAGCAAAATCGATTTCATTCGTGCTCATATTAGCTTCCTTTTCAGTACTCCTCAGTCGGCGATTAAGCCGTCGTCGGCGCCGGCGACGGTTTCTCCGGTGGTGATTTCTCGGCCTCATCCCCAGAATTTGAATGTAAACCCTAACCCTAACCCTAATAATAACCCTAATGTTGTTCATCCTCAACTTAATGTGAATGTTGTTCATCCTCAACATCGGGTTTTTCATCACCCTCCTCCTCCTTCGGCTCAGTCGTACTTTCCAAGGGGCCCCACTGAAATCAGTTTTGCTCAGCCTGGAAGTGGGACTGTTGTTTCTGAGTCTCTCTCCTCACCAACTGCTAAAGAGAGGTATGTTTTTTCTGTATTTTGTTTTTTAATGAAAAATGCTTTAATATTTAGGGCATTTTTACAATTTGGGGGGTTTTTGGAACGTGGGTCACTTTGGAAACGTGTTAAAAATTAGAAAAGAGCTGAGTGTTTGAGATTTTTAGGGTTAGTTTACATCTTTTGCAGTTAATTAGTTGTTTTTCTGCTCCTTTACTGTAGGCAAGTGATTATGAAGTAAGTTTGATATTTTGTGTGATGGGTCTTGTAGCAATATGTTGCTGTGTATGGCCTATGAAGAATTCTGTCTTTAGGGTGAATGGGGGATTTCCTGTGTTATTGCGTCTTTGGTAAAGTTTTGATCTTGATCGTTGTAGCTAGATTTAGTTGATGAAATGGACGGTTTAGAGATATTTTTGCTATTTAGTCATTGGGGAATGTTGGAGTGTAGAAATCGAATGGATGACAAAGAGATATGCTGAAGAACTGTAAAGTTCGGGACTTATGGCTTTTATTTACTTGTTTAGGTTACATGTGTCACGACATTCTGTGAAGCTTTCTGAGGTTCAAATAGGACCAGAGTGTATAGAAATTTGAATTATGTAGTATGCTTCATTCATAGTAGTTAGGTCATAGTACCTGTCCAAGTGTCGTGGCAAAGGCCTATTTTGGGTAATTGGGCTGTTTGTTTAGATTGCAATGATAAATATAAAGAATCTGAATGCATAGGAAGATAAAGGTTTCATCAGTTGGGATTAATGAGGGTGAGAGGTGAAGAAACCATAGTTTGACGTTGCTGGGTAAAATGTCTCTATGCAAGAATGTGTATGTGCTATCTAATGAATCTTCTACACTTGTGATCTAAGATGAATCGAATCAAACCAAAAATTTCAAGTACTGGTATATAAATTCTATTGCATACAAGTATTATTAATTTCTAGGGTTGATCAGAATGGTCAATGCCGTACGAATGTTGATACAGTTGTCGAATGAATTTACTTGTAAATTAGTGATTTCTAACCATCAATTGTATCAAACATTGCCAAATGTACATCATTGTGTAAACAGAGTTCAACTTATCATTCTTCGGTGTGATTTCACTTATTATTGGTGTTGTTAGTTGTACTGATATGGTATTTTTAAGTTTGTCAACCCGAGTATGCTAGTAATATCGAGTTTTCAGTACATTGTTATTGGCTATGGATATCAGCATGTTTGTTCAACTTATAGGTTGTCTAGAGATCAGAATCTTACTTTAATAATGTGAGTATGCTAGAAGAAACAAAAACTGAGTAATACATGTTCAGCCTTCAATATTTCACAGCCTGTCTGCAGCGTTGAGTGTAGTCCATAACTCCTGATCGCGAAAATCTGTCATTTTTGGGATGCATTTGTACTAATGTTTTGTTACAATTTCACCTCTATTGGCATAGATTTTGTTTGATGTTTTAATTGTTATTAGGATACTACCAAATCAAGGGGCATTTGGGTGTGTGTGGTGAATCTCCTACTCTTGTGATCTAAGATAAATCAAATGAGTCGAAAATTTATATCTTTTCTTGTATAATATGACTATTGGCATAGGTTTTGTTTTAATATTGATTAGGAATTTACCAAATCAGGGGCATTTGGGTGTGTATGTGGTGAACTATGTTATACATTTTTGCTGTCATACCTTGACCGACACGGACCAGGGTATGAAATCCGATTTTATTCCGGATACGCCATTTGGTCGTTGGGTATGGCGATGTTTGTCCAAGAAGAGGAGTCGAGGTTTTAATGGCGGCCATGAATGAAGCTTCGAAAGGGGGGGAGAAGGGTTTTTTACTTTTTTTTTTTTTTTTTTTTTTTTTTTCACTTTAATGTCATTTACCGATGGTAAACTCTAAAAGCAAAATGATAAAGGATTTTTGTAAATTTATTTTTTATAATATGTAAGTCAACAAGAACATGAAAGGCATGTGTTGTGGGTCGGTTTAGTAGTCTAATATTTGATGTAAAATTAAAATAAATTTTGCCTTCCTAGCAAGATTTTATTAACCTTTGGTTGAAGATATTTTCTCCTAATTGTATTGCCATATACCGTTTACCATACCCGTATCCAAAGTTAAGATAGTGTCCTCGTGTCCTAATTTTTTGAAAATGATGAATCGGACACTCGGATCTGTACCCATATCGGATATTCGTTCTGGTGTCCACGTAACATAGGTGGTGAATCTCCGTGATCTAAGATAAGCCGAATGGCTCGAAAGTTGAAAGTGTATATCTTTTCTTGTATAATATGAACATTGGCATAGATTTATGCTTTAGGGAACAGGAAGCTACCAAATCAGGGGGCGAATGGTTGGTATGATACCATATTGGTATCAAGTATGATTTTAGTATGATTAAAACCTATACTTCAAACCCAAGGTATGGGTTTTAGGAACCTTTGGAGGGGGGGGGGGGGTGGACATGGGTATGACTCATGCCAATCGTCTAGGTATGAAAATAAAAGTCTGTGTTCATTTCTATACTTAACCCAAACACATGGTATTAAGAATCAAGCTCAAATCCCATACCATCTATATATAATTCTTCCTTTTAAGCTTATATCAGCTTAATATTCTTACTTGTCATGAATGCTTGAATGTCAGGAATCCTACGGTTTGATTCCGTTATTTGTTCATCTTTTTTATTGTGATTGGCCGGTTTATATGACATTTGGCATTTATGGATATTCTATATTCCTATCAG